TCACGCCAGAAAATGCGCAACCAATTCTTGTAAGCTTGAGTTTGGATCACTTCAGAAAAGCTTTGACAACTTTAAAAAGGATTGAATAACATAACAGAAAAGTTAGACTTAGAGTACTTTATCTGTGCCAAAAGCTATGTCAAGCGTCGTTCTGAACGTGCCAAAGTGTGGCAATCAAGCTATCAGTCTCAGTAACCCGTGTGGTTGCCAACCCTGCACTTATGACTTTTGGGAATGTGTTTTTACATTTTCAAGTCAAGGACGGAAAAAAGTCGTGATAATATTCAACGAACTGGTTGCTGGTCATCCGCTTCAAGGAAATGGCACTCGAAGATTAACCCCTCCGCGAGAAGGAGAAGGGTGACTGATGGCACAAGCTGTCCTTATACCTTTTGGCAAATTTCCATTGCTGATTATTCATAAAATGTATAAGTCAACTAATAAGCAGACGCCTTGCAAAATTTTAATGAAGATCATGTGTCAAATGAAATGTATAAATGGTCACACATACCTTTTATGCGTTCTTATAGGACGTATGTGGTATGTCTTATGGAATGTATAAGGCTGATGTTTTGGCAAAAATGTATAAGTGAAACACATGAATAAAATAATTAATTTTTGTTTCGTGCATCCAGGAGAAAGCAGTTCTCTACCGTGCGTCATTCTGGCAGACGTTTGCCAAAACCAAGAACCTAACCGGCAGGTGGATATCTGAAAGGCGCAGAAGTGGTGGACCAAAGTGGCAAAGAGGAATGGCTTCGTCGGTACAGCGGATGAGGGGGACATGCCAGCTCCCACGATAGGTGAAGTTAAGGATGCTATCGGACAGCTTAAGAACAACAAAGCAGCTGGGAAAGATGGTATCGGAGCGGAACTTATCAAAATGGGCCCGGATAAGTTGGCCACTTGTCTGCACCGACTGATAGTCAGGATCTGGGATACAGAACAGCTACCGGAGGAGTGGAGAGAGGGAGTAAAATGCCCAGTATATAAAAAGGCGACAAACTAGAATGTGAGAACAATCGAGCGATTACTATTCTTAACGTGGCCTACAAAGTGCTTTCCCAGAACATCTTTCGCCGTTTATCGCCGCTAGCAAGCAAATTTGTGGGAAGTTATCAAGCCTGTTTTGTGGATGGGTGATCGACAACGGACCAAATCTTTACGTTGCGGCAGATCCTCAAAAAGTGTCGTGAATATCAAGTCCCTACGCACCACCTATTCATCGATTTCAAGGCCACTTATGATAATATTGACCGTGAAGAGCTATGAAAGATTATAGACGAGAATGGTTTTCCCGGGAAGCTGACCAGAACTGATCAAACAATTTGAGTTGATCAACAGCTGATTAAGCTATTTTTTAGCTGAAAAAGCTTGGTTTTGCCTGAATAAGCTCTTATTCAATATTGTTGAATGTTGGGCAGTGCTGCGTGAAGATATCGGGTGCGTTATCGGAGCAATACACCAGGCTGAAGCGTGAAGCAGAGAAGGTTGGATTAAAGGTGAAAACGTTGAAGACAAAGTATCCGTTAGCTGGAGGAACCGAGCGGGATAGGGCTCGCATAGGCAGAAACGTGACAATCGATGGAGATGAGTTCGAGGTGGTGGATGAATTTGTGTACCTCGGATCATTGGTGACGTCGGATAACAACTGCAGCAGAGAAATTCGTCGGCGTATTATTGCCGGAAGTCGTGCTTACTACGGACCCCACAAGACCCTGAGGTCGGGTAAACTTCACCTCCGTACTAAATGTACCATGTACAAGACGCTGATAAGACCGATAGTTCTCTACGGGCACGAGACGTGGACGATGCCTGAGGAGGAACTGCAAGCACTGGGTGTTTTCGAACGAGGAATACTCTTTGACGGGGTATGTGAGAACGGTGTATGGAGGCGAAGGATGAATCACGAGCTGGCGCAGCTCTATGGCGAACCCTGTATCCAGAAAGTTGCGAAAGCTGGACGGGTTGATGGGCGGGACACGTTTTAAGAATGCCGGACAATAATCCCGCAAAAATGCTGTTTGCCTCGAATCCGGCCGGTACAAGACGAAGAGGAGAACAGCGAGCAAGGTGGTTGGACCAAGTGGAGCAGGATCTTGGAAGTGTGGGACGGTCAAGAAATTGGAGACAAGCAGCCACGGACCGAGTGAATTAGCGTAACATTGTGATGCAGGTGCAATCCTGAGGGATGTCGGACCAGGATAAGTAAGTAAGTCATACTTGTCATCGTGTGCCATGACGCACCGATCAATGTGCCACGATGTGTTTCGGCACAATGTGCAGAGTTGATTACCCCTTGGATTCACACCATTTTGCAATCCACGATGGCGACTTCCGGCTTGTGAAAAACTGCCAGCAAGCCAATAATATCGATATTTTAGGAAGGGGGATGACATTTACAGGAATTGTATACACGCTATTTCAAAACTATCCAAGTTTGGGTAGAATCCACTCAGATCGGTACCTACCCAAGAATTGATAAACTTGCATTTACCCAAATCTGGGTAAACGTAACTGCGACAAAAACTGGGTAACGGTTACTGAGATATTGACATTTGATTACAGGGTGCACTTTATCCATTTTAATAGAAATTAGTTGATATGACCGCTGTAGCAGCTCTATCAAACATAACCTCACCCGACTAGCTCCTTTAGCCTGTTATTGATTGTTGAATTCGCCTGTTATAGATTGTTCAATTCGTATTGATTGTTGTATTCGTATCGGAAAAGACAATACGACATTGAAATACCCAAAAAAAAAAAACGATGCTAACCATTTATTGAGATTTGATTTTAAATGAGTTCTATAAATTAGGAACAACAACAAAAAATTAGTTTTCTTTATTTATTTAGGAGATTTTCAGTCACAGGCTGGTTCATCTCCGCTCAACAAACATTTGGCATCGAGAAAAGCGTCACAGAATATCTAAATAACCTAGAATTAGGAGAATGTTCAAAGTCAAGAAACTAACAATATACTTACTAACTATAGCTGCTGGTAGCATTCGCCATGAAAACAGTTTCATATCTGTAATTTTTTTTAGCATCAGATATATATATATTTTGAGCAACTTTCACTGGCAGCGCAACAATCTCCCTTTTATACCCGCGCTATTTTTGCGCCACAGGTGTTGGTACTACCAACTACGATACTTTTAAATTGTCCGTTAAATGATTGTGCGATGAACAACTTGCGAGTGTTATGTCTGGTTGTCAGTGCCTATCTAGCTTTCCATGCTCGGTAATTGTGGCCTATTTGTATGAATAAATGTATCCTTCACTGTGTTTTTTGACACTAACTGGAGGGCGTATATTGATCAGTTCACGAAGATTTGCCGCACTCTTCTCTCACCCGTAAGTTTTGACAGTTTTGGGTGGTTTGTTTTGGCTCCCATTCGTTGCTATCTCTTTTACTCAGAAGCAAAATGATAGGGAGCAAAAAGTGAGGTTAGGGACCGTGCACTGATCTATTGTTCCATTTTTTTCTGTTCCTGGGAGAGGGAAAGGGAGAGGTCAAAATCCGAACATCCAGATAGTGTCAAAAAGCACAGTGAACGATACATTTTTAGATAGAGCTGGAATTAGGACGTAACAGCTTTTGTAAACAATTACTTCTTTGGATGATTTCTAGAAAGTTAAGGCTTGCCAACGCAAATCAACAACACCATCGGGTAGGGGAAGACTTCCCATACCCGACGGTTATGTTGGTTTGCGTGGGCGTGCCTTGAGTTCCTAGAAATAATCGATTGAAGTCATTGTTTACAAAGGCTGTTACGCCCTAATTCCAGCTCTATCTAGATTTATTCATACAAACAGGCCGCCATTTCCGAGCATGGAAAGCTGGATAGAGTCACGATCAGAATATTCGTAAGAGTATCGGGTCGACAATGAAGAAATAGCACGAAAATGTAGGTAAACATTATATTTCAAACCAAGCCAAATAACCAACAAAAGAATACATTTTCAGCATTAAAGCTGTGTATGCTACTGTCAAACCGTGTTTACGTCTGCCCGAAAATCTATCCAAACAGGCAGTCATATCATAGAGGTAACTCTAAGACCAGAAGGTCCCGAAGAAACGTGATTAACTTTTTGGCAGTCATAACTGTCCCAGGCTAAACGATGCACCCCTCGAAACATAGGAAAATCTACGAACCCCTCATTTTGTCTGTCAAATTTTCATAGCGAATCAAAACAAACATAGTGTTATACTAGAATTTCGACCAGAATGGGGTACGTTAATCATTTGCTTGGGACTAATAGGCTAGTCAAGTAGTGAGCCAATTTTAAATCGTTAATTTCCACCGGTTGGTGTATCTTCGTCGATACTGAGTACAGAGGGCCAGTCTGGGTTACAGCGCTGGAAACCAAGTGGATTCACGTGACGTTGAACAGTACCGTACCGGCTCATGGCCATACGAGTCGTGAACGCATACAGAACCATCTCATCGGAGCGAATCTATAAGCGTCAAGAATGCCTCAAGAGTTAGAAAACGGCGGAGAACGGTAGATGGACCTATAGGTTAATACCGAATCTCTCGATCGGGGTTAACAGAAAGCACGGAGGAGTCAATTTCCACCTGACGCAGTTCGTTTCTTGACATAGATTCTATAGATTGGTGATATTTATTGACAAGAAACTGCTACGTTTGTTTTCAATATTTCATTATTATTATTATTATTAATATTATAATTTCTCGAATATGTTTCAATTATAAATATACAATCAATTTGTTTTATAAACTACTTGCTATGTACACTCTTCTTTCCTACTCAAAAGTTGAAACCGACGTTTTAAATTTTACAAATCTAGAACGTTCTATTTTCCGTTTGTTCCGTAAAACATAACCTAAACTTGCTTGCTATATACACAATTATTTCTGGATTATCCCTATCCTAATGTTTCAATTAGATTTCTCATTTACACAGTAAATAATTACTTCTGAACAATGTTCTCCCACTATTGTCACGCATCTAGACCGTCGAGAACACATTGTAGTCAATATTAAGCATATTCCTAACCTAGAATTTCTATATCACAGCGTTTAAAATGTGTATGCTTTATTTGTGTTTGCTATTCCGATCCCGTTTGTTAAAGCTGGCTGTCACGCACCCCTTGTCAGCTTCAAATCCTCGTAATAATCGACGACGTTGGCCCCCGTCCACCGGATGACGCCGCCGACGACATCCCCCGGAGACTCCGGTGTATCCGCACCGGCATGTATCCGCTGGTGCCATTGGATGCACCACTCCGGTGGCTACTGCTGTATGCCTGATTGTAGAGGTACTTTTTCGATCCGGAACTCGGATGGGTACTACCGCTGCTGGCGGTAGTTGTGCTTCGATACGGGCTACCACTGCCTGCCGAGGGGTGATTCACCTTGAGCAGCGGAACGGATTTCAGCGATCCGTTGGCCGAATTTGCTCCGCTGACCTTTTTGCTCAGATCACTGGTGTGCTTGGTCCACAGCCAGATGCCTGTGGTCGATCCTCCGACTAGGGTGAGGATCAGCTTCAGGAGCGTTGGCAGAATGGAGAATTTTCTGGGAGTTGGGCAGTTGGTGCCGGAGGTGCACGGTTCGATGGGGTTTTCGATGCGTTCGAAGAAGGTACAGATGATGGCCGAGAGTGCGGGGATGAGGTAGATGATGGCGAAGAGCAGAACTCTGGTGAATACTTTGGAGAGGGTTTCGCTCTGGTTCCAAGTGGATTTGAGGCGTTTCAGAGCGACCAGAGCCAGGAAGATCAGGGTGGCTCCTGCGAGCAGTAGGATCAGAGCAGGGATTTCGGTGAATCCTTTGGCGGTGCAGAAGTTGGTGAGTTCAAACTTTTGGATGTTGCCACGGAGCAGGGCACTGATGGGCGAGGCGAATGGAACGACCCACGCCATCACGTGGAACAGACCGGATTTTTTCTCCAGGGCTTCGCAGGACCATTGTTTGGCGGTGCTGAGGTACCAGCAAACGCCGAAGATCAGCCACCATGTAGTGGCGCTGATGAGCAGGTAGTTTTTGATGATGTAGTACGCCAGACATTGGGAGGTTATGTTGCATTCCTGACGGAATTCTAGCAAATCGATTAGTTCCTTGCGTGGGTTGTGCAGGATGGTCCGTTCAAGGTAGCAGAGACCCATCAGGTTGTAGCAGAGCGTCATGAACAGCAGTGGCCGGTCGGGGTACTCGAACTTGGTGGCCTTGGTCCAGAAGGTGACCAGGGACATGAGCGTGAAGATGAAGCACCCTGCCGACAGCATCAGGGTCCAGAACTCGATGGTCTCCTTCTGGCGGGCATTGTACATGGCATCGATGGAGGAACCGCACTTCGGAACGCATTGGTCGTATTCGAGGCTGTAGTTGGTGGGGCAGGTGACCGGCGGAGAGTGGTGATGGTTGGTTGGGGGCCGGGTGGCACCCGGTTCCATAATGGAGTTGGGATGCATCGCTGGATGCTGCGGGAGGTTGAAAATGGACCAGGGCTTGAGGGGGACGGCGGCAGTGACGGTTGGGTTGCTGAGGTTCTTCTCAACGCTTCCGGAGGCTTCCGGAGGGACCTGGAATGGAGAGAGAGAGAAAAGATGAAGATGTTAGTTAAAGAGTCACTATGGTGATGGTAGGGAACGCTTTAGCGTTGTTACCAATGGGCATATAGTTTTTGCAAGTGGTACGTAAATTGAACTCTGATACTGTCAAAAGGAAGTTGAATTAGTTTTAAAATGTGCTTAAAAGTGAAAATACTAAATCGTAAAAGTGTATTTCTAGGTAAGTTGACAAACTGTTCACGGTTTCAGTCCCGCTTAGTTACAGATCTTCTAGTTGGCTAACGGTTGGGTTGATTATAAAGTAATAATTCAACATGAAAAAAAACCCAGGAAATATTTAGTTCAACGCTTGAACCAGCGTTCCAGTACCTCCATCCGTGCTTCCATCAATGTCTTCTGACACGCAAGATCCCCGAAGTCACGGTGCCTTGCCATCTGCCGGCAAGAAAAACTTCTGTTTTATCTCACAAAAATAATTATGATTTTTGTGGAGTAATTAATTTCGGATTTTCCTCTTCCCACTTCCCACACTCTCCTTGAACCTGTCCGCGGCGTGTCCGATTTTAATATTCACCTTACCACCACCACCATCATCATTCCGGGGGCGCACTTTTACCTTTAAGACAAACGTCTATAGGGGCACATATCGGCGGTGGCGGCGGCGGCTGCTGCTGAGCCGGTAATTATCATTTGGCTTGGCCACGGCTTCGATTCAAGAAATGAGTGAAAGAGACTTTGTAAATCAGCAGTCGTGGTGTGGCCGAACAAAAGGTCCAAAGAAGAGAGAGAGAGAAACGCGATCGGCTTGTGCACCTCACCGCGGATCGATATAAGATAAACTGTAATATAAAATTGCTTTATCAAAAAAGAGCTTTTAAGAGGTTTCGTCGGGTTTGGGTCTTTCTTCTTCACTCGAAAATCTGCGTGAGTTGGGGGAGGAGAAGGAAGAGGACGGGCTAGCGTTTCCTTCCATCTTTCACGCGCGGGCATTAATTTGAGCGCCAGTCGGGCATTAAGCTGCTGCGCTCCTATCGGGTCCAAGCAACCTCCGCTTCGTACGTCCCCGCCCTGCCTGGCAGTAGTAGGCGAGGGGGAAATATTTTTGATAACTATTTTTTAAAGTGATACAGACCTCTAATTAGAAGCGCGATCGATACTCAGGCTGCTTTAAAGCAGATCAACCTACTACGCTTCCCTCGCAGGGGAGCAGTCTGCCGAGCGCCGAGGAAGCGCTCTGTACGAAACAGAAATTAAGTAAAAATCTCGGATGCGAATATTCCGAATTACAGTTTTTAGCGCGGGGCTTAATTATAACGCACGGTCAGCGAAAGAGAGCTGGTGCGATGGATCGATTGGACGATCTAGCCGAAATATCCGCTGGCGATGTTTGGTGGGCTCCGCGCTCTATTACCCATTAGGATTTCTAATATCTTCGGGCGAAGAATTCTAGAGCCAAGAGCTCGAGGCTAGAACCTTTCGGTTGGTTTCCAGGAAACCGGATTAAGCGATCTTGTCCAAATACCAGCGAACCTGCTGGGGCTATGTTATTAAGAGTTGTGGGATGCCGAGCGGTTGAAAGGTGCGTGCCGGAAAGTTGCTCGTTCGTTAGATGCGGTGTACAATCACATAGCGTTTGATGTATTTAGGTAGTTATGGGGGAAATTGTAATTGATTCCGAAAATTCACAATTTGTTTAGCTGCGGTTCGGGAATGGTGCCGCTGTAACTAAATCAGTTGACAAAGTAGTCGGTTTGACACCATGGAACCACGGCCTACATATACCAGGCTAGCTACTCCACTCCTGTCATGTTTTGTGTGACATCAGAATCGGTGAAATAAACAAACAATGAGTCAATATACATCAATTTTCAAACTTTTCTAATGAAAATTATACATCTGCGGTAGATAAAGTTCATGATAACCACATTAAATCCAATGGAAAATGCAACAACAATGAAATCGCCGGTTTAAAAAGAAAACGCATTATTACATCTTGCTCTCGAATGTGGCATCCTTGGTGATGATTTTCTCAGCCACAGCAAATACCTGCCGAAGAAATGGCATCTCCAGGCTTCCGGAAATCGAGCGGCTGACCGGACGTGATAACTGGCCCACGTGGAAGTTTGCGGTGCAGACATACTTGGAGCTGGAGGATCATTTTGCTTCTCGACCCCGTTAACGATGTACACGTGAAGGAAGCGAAATCGGCGAAGGAAGTTTGGGCCAAACTGGAAAGTGCATTCGACGACACAGGCCTAACGCGACGGGTCGGATTGCTCCACAAGTTGGTAAAAACTGAGCTGTCTGCTTGCTCATCAATGGACGATTACGTCAACCGAATTGTGACAACTGCTCATCAACTGAACGGGATAAATTTCCCGATCTCCGATGGATAGGAACGTTGCTGCTGGCTGGTCTCCCCGACGAATATCGCCCGATGATCATGGCTCTGGAGAACTCGGGAATGCCGATTACCGGGGACGCAATAAAAACAAAGCTGCTGCAGGAGGTAAAATGTTCGCCTGAAAATGCGGCACTGGCTGCTAGTCGACGGACGGGAGCAGCTGGACGCAGCGGGAAATACAAGCAGCAGAACGAACCGAAGAGTGATCCCCCCCCCCCAAAGGACCAAAATGCCGAAAGTGCCACAAGTTTGGACACATTGCTCGTGATTGCAGGAGTGCCAAAAAGGAGGATGCTTTCTGCGCGGTGCCGTCAACCTTTTCATCCACGAAGGCATCGGAGTGGTTCATCGATTCAGGTGCAAGTTTCTGGAAAATTTGCAGCCAGCGACCGGGTCCGTTGTCACTGCTAATGGAAACGGGATGAATGTAACGGCAAGTGGCTCGGCCACGTTGAAGCCGGCTTGTCAGGAGAACAATATTCCGGTTCACGATGTCCAACTGATCCCGGATCTTTCGGTGAATCTTCTCTCCGTGAACCAGATTGTCAGCAAGGGATATACGGTTGTGTTTACCAACGCTGGATGTAAAATTGTGAACAGTGACGGGAAAACAGTGGCCATAGGCAGGCACGAAAACGGATTGTTTCCGCTTGAGCTGCAGCAGGACACAAATAATGCTTTGGCTTGCGTGCCAGCAACCAGTGTGACGGTTTGGCACCAACGACTGGGACATTTGAACCTAAAGAGCGTTCGAAAGCTAGCCAACGGATTGGTAGATGGAATCACAATCAACAGCACAGACGCGGGAGGCTGCAAGGTATGTTCAATGGGTAAACATTGTCGGCATCCCTTTAGCAAGAATGGTTCGCGTGCAGCAAAAATGCTCGATGTGGTGCACACCGACATTTGCGGGCCCATGGAGGTAAAGTCTCTTGGAGGAAGCAGACATTACATCGTCTTCGTGGATGATAAGTCTCGGAAGATGTGGACGTACTTCCTCAAAATGAAATCGGGACCAGAAGTTTTGAGAACTTTCCAAGAATTCCACGTAATGGTTGAGCGCCAATCCGAGCGGAAGATCAAGGTTCTTCGCAGCGACAACGGCATTCAGCAACAAAAGACTACAGCATACACTCCGGAACAGAATGGTATGGCGGAGCGTGCAAACCGTTTAATAGTTGAACGTGCTCGATGCCTACTGTTCTAATCAGGACTGGCGAAGACGTTCTGGGCTGCGGCCGTACATACTTCCGTCTACCTGCAGAACCGATCCCCAACTCAAGGTCACAACTCTACTCCTGAGCAAGTCTGATCCGGGAAGAAACCCAATTTGTCACATCTTCGGATTTTCGGTACCAAGGCAATGGTACAAATACCCAAAAAACGGCGACGCAAGCTCGACGCCAAGTCTCGGGAATGCATTTTTGTTGGGTACGACGACTACACGAAAGGATATCGGCTCTACGATCCGCAGTCGTGTAAAGTGTTCACCAGCTGCGAAGTCTGCTTCATCCACGAAGGTGAACCAAGCGCACCGGATGAAAAGCAACGTCAGATCTTGGTCCCGCTAGACTTCAAGTTCGTTTCTTCATCGCCAGCTGCAAGAGGTTCGGACAACCGCCTCGTCGAGGAAACCGAGGACGATGACGCTGAGGACGAGTTCTTCACGGATTACGAAAATGGAAGCGAAGAAGAGTTCAACGGCTTTGACCTTTCGCAAGAAACCGTGATTGACGTGACTCCCGTGCTCCCACCGCGCAAAACTTCAAATCCACCTCAGTCACAGGTGTTGAGGCGTAGCGGTCGGGAGCACAAAATCCCAGGCAAGTATAATGACTTTCAAGTAACGTACAAAGGTCTGCCGCATTCTCAACCTTTACAGGAGGCTAATACGAACGCGGACAACTTGGATACACCAGTGCAGCTCACACCCCAAGGCCTGTTCGGTGGTATCGCAACCGCAGTCGACATGGCCTTAGCTGAGGGACCACTACCAAATGGCGATCCGGATACGTACCAAGAGGCAATGTCGCGGGAAGACGCAGCACTCTGAAAGCAAGCGATGCGTGAGGAGTATGATGCGCTCTGAGCAAACGACACCTGGACCTTGACCGAACTGCCTGCTGGTCGGAAGCCGATCAAATGCAAATGGGTCTTTAAGACCAAGCACGACGCAAACGGCAACGTGGACAGACACAAAGTGCGCCTAGTCGTAAAAAGCTTCTCGCAGCTATAGGGCTATGATGAGACCTACTCACACGTGGTTCGTTATAGCTCCCTGCGGTACCTTTTCGCCTTGTCCGCCCGGCATGGACTGGCTATCGAGCAAATGGACGCTAAAACGGCGTTTCTCCAGGGAGAATTAAATGAGGAGATTTGCATGGAACAGCCACCGTGTTTCCAAAACTCCCATCAGTCAAGACTGGTTTGCCGTTTGAATAAAGCTCTATACGGACTCAAAACGCTAAACTCGATGCTCCGTCAAAGTACGATCCGTGTCTCTACTATCGCATCGAAGGCAACCGGATGATATTTATTGCAATCTACGTAGACGAGGTGATTATCTTTTCCAACGGTAAAGCGTGGACTGCCGAGATCAAGATGAAGCTGGGTGACACGTTTCGCATGAAGGACCTAGGATCAGCAAGTTCGTGTCTCGGAATACGGATTACTCGTGACAACGATGCCGTAGCTCTGGATCAGGAGGCATACATTGAGGCGATGCTGTCCCGATTCAACATGCAACATGCGAAGGCAGTATCGACTCCGATGAACTCAAGCTTGAAGCTGACCAAAGAGATGGCAGACTACGGATGAAGCTGCAAAAATGAAAGAAGTGCCGTACCAGGAGGCTGTAGGCAGTTTGATGTATCCAGCGCAATGCACCAGACCTGGTGTACTCTTCGCCGTTAACGAGTCGCTTCAACACGAATCCAGGAGTCAAGCATTGGGAAGCGGTTAAACACCTGTTTCGGTACTTACGAGGTACGTCGAAGCTCAAGCTGCAGTACACCAAGGGTTGTAGTACTGACCTGATTGGTTACTCCGATGCCGATTGACTCCTATAAAAAGGCACCGAAACAAGCTGGTTGCCATGAACCTGTGTTGCTGAGATCCAACATCTCCCCATTTTAAGTCATCCAATAGGATTGGAACTTGCAGAAAGTTGAATCAATCGTCTCTCTCTCTCAGGAACGGGATCCACAACAGGAGGTGTAACATCTTCAGCTTCCTCGGAATAGAAGGATTCATCAGATTCAGCAGGATTTTCGTTCACATCGGGTATCTCTGGTTGGTCAGCATTCATACCGTGTCTTGGAAGTTCAATACATGAGAGTACAAATCCGTCGAAGAGCACAGAAAGAAGTGATGGATCTTGAGATACGACGTCTTCAGATATCCGTAGCTTCAACGGATAATGCGTTGGCGTTCTTACAGGTACACATTGTAGTTGACTTTTCCGATTCTCTCTATAATCGTGGCCTTCTCCCAAATCCTCGAATTATTTCGATGTACTTTAGCGTAAACTGTTTCACCTGGTGTAAACTGACTGCTCCATGCTTCTTATAGTAAGCTTCATTTTGTTTTTCTATTTTGCCGAGGGATTCTGAAACAGTATCGGATGGAGATTCCAACATTGAGAAAACAGTGCGAATAGGCCTTTGAAACATCATTTCGGCAGGGGAACGTCCATCCAAATCGTATAGTACGATAGACTTGAAGGAAAACTTGCAATGCTTCTTCCAAGGTGTCTCCTCCCGCACGAATTTTCCGCAAACTTCTCTTAAGGGTATCCACAAAACGTTCAGCCAGTCCATTCGATTGAGGATGTAAAGGAGCTGTTCGAATGTGGTTGATGCCAAGATGTTCGCAAAATGTCCGAAATTCATAACGTGTAAACAGGGTGCCTTCCATTCATTTTGACTAAAAAAATGTTTTAGAAAATTATGGAATAATAAGATATTATGGTGGTATTTTGTATGCGTAAGGAACAAGAAAAGATTTTAAAGTTTGTGTTTGACACATAAAACCTGCAAATTTAGCTTTGACAGAGCCACAATGAGCGATTTTCTGATCGCCTCTTCGCGAAGAGTGAAGAGCGAAGAATGGGTGAGAAAAATAACAAAATCGCTTATTGCCATTCTCATGCAGCATCATTGGCTGGTATTATGTGTCAAACACAAACTCCACAATCTTTTCTTGTTGCTTATACAAACAAAATATTATAATAATATCTTATTATTCCATAATTTCATAAAAACATTTTTATAGCCAAAATGAATGGAAGGAACCCTGCGTGTAAATTGAGTTCCGTTATCGGATACGATGGTTTCAGGAACGCCAAAGATTGAAAACATCTGGCCGTTTCGTATACGGATCGACCACCACCAGAAAATACATACAATTGACAGGACCTGCATAATCTATGTGGATGCATGACCAAGGTTTTGCTGGAACGGGCATGATTCGAGCCGGAGTTTTTTTGGATTGAAGTTGGATTCCTTGGCCATCCTTCACATATGTAGCTGTAACGTATCGATTGACTTGGTAGTTTCTTGAAAAGCAGCAAACGATATAGGTACTTTGTTTACAGCGTCTGTCAGAATACTTGTCATGTCTTCTTCAAGGGTAACTGCAGCTACTACATATTCCTCTTCTGGATGCGTCCGCTGCAACAATCATCGGCATTTTCGGGTCGTAATGCGTCACCAGGAGTATGGAACTCCGGGAAGTTCCAGTCAGTTTAGTCTATTTTGGCTTGATCCATCCCAATTGGGGCTAATTTATTAATTTAGATCACTTCTGAAGAATATAGGATTATTTAAATCAAGCTTGAGGCAGTGAATTTGTCATCTCTTGCCTTTCGGGCGACTGAAAGAGACGACCAATGCACATTGGTGAGACGTTTGTCAGAATCAAACCCGAGCAACTGTCAAATATGAACAATCGTCGCCTAGCTCGCATTTCTAGTTCCAATCGACAACAAGCCATAAGCAACGATGGTTTGTTGATGTTTGGAACCAAATTCACATATCCGGAGTGATTTGAGATTTGGGCGTAATTGCATTTGTAAACAAACACGTCAATCGCCGATTTCTCGCAAATAAAAGCTCGATCTCGAAAACTAATAACACTATCAGGTAGATGAACTGAACCAAATCAGTTTGTTTACCAGATTGATCTGTTATTCACGAGAATTCGGCGATTGACGTGTTTGTTTACAAAAGCAATTACGCCCAAATCTCAAATCACTCCGAATATGGAAAATCAATGGGTGTAAACATATGAGGAACAGTGAATTTGTCGTCTCTTTCGTTCTAGGCTGTTTAGATGGTTTGTTTGACGTCAAACTCCTTCAGCCATTTAAACAGCCTAGAACGAAAGAGACGATAAATTCACTGTTCCTCGCATGTTTACATCTCATTGATGGGTGATCAGTAGGCTGATTTGACAGCACATCTCGCCCCTGCTGACTACAGCCACTCAAAGCCCCCGATTCTCGTACCCTTCCCCAGATGCTCACCTGCATGCAGAGTCCGTGGTTTTCCGGCTGCGGTAACGTCCGACAGTCCAGGTACGCCGGCCACAGTTTGCTGAAGATGGCATCGCTGAAGCAGTCCTTGCGAACCTGTTCGCACAGCGACCGGCACGGTTGTACCGGCCGGGGTGCATTGGCCGAGCAGAGCGGGAACAGCGACGAGCAGAACAGGAACAGGGCCTGCTTCGAGCAACCCGAATCGATCACCGGCCGCAGGGAAGTAATCTGAAACGGAAGAAAGAGAAAAGAGACACAATGTAAAACTAATGTGACTGACTGACGGCAGGGGGCGACAGCTGTGGCATCGCCCAAATTGCTATCTTTCCCCGAGATTCGATTTCAAATGCATATCGGATCGGACCGGAGGAGCCATTAGCCTCCCTCTGACCAGTGTGATCAGGTATAAATCATTCCTCCCCCTTTTTGTCCGACCCGTTCTCTGAGTTTCTCTTCGTGGCCATGCAGCATGTGAGCGAGCTTCTGGCTGGAGCTGCATTCATTCGTTCAGCAGACTCTCGGAGCTTCTAAAGTGTCAGGGAAACCATAAATGAAATGGTTCAGTGAGTGCTCCCGGAAGGCACCTCAAGGTGAGGGGCTGGAGCTGAAGCGAACCGAAGAAGGCGATGAAGAAGAAGTAGCTGGAGCGGAAAAGATCTGAACAAAGATGAAAGAGACCGCCGCGGCCGTCCGGACGATGGGGCTATAACACTTTTAACTTTTGCCTCGGACTGAACAAAATGCAACGGTGCGGAGTTCCATGGGAGAGATACAGAGAGAAGTTGATGTGTACATGCCTCCTGCCTGCCTATATCATATAATAATAATAACATTATTATAATGCACCATCCAGCGCGTTTCGAGGCGTTCCGTTGCGGATATTACCATCCACGGTCGGTTGAAATCGGCCGGACCGGTAATATACATGTCTGCGCTTGGAGACCCCTCGTGGACATTGTCATTTGTGAACCTAAAAGCATTGGAAAGCGATTAGACCCCCGCCCTGTTGAACGTCACAAGAATCGATCGTCCGCAGGCGATCGTGCGTGAAATAATGCCACCTTTTCTCCTCGGCGGCGGCGGCGGTGGTGGTGGAACCTTTCCGAAACCGGAGCAATTTAATTAATTGCAACCGGAGCCCTAATTGTCCCCGCGCTCACTCGTGCGCGCGCGCCATCTACACTTTGACAGAGTGTGTGCACTAGGGATGACAGGTGTCAGTGGTGACTTTTCGCTCGCAGTCGCAGCGCTTAATAATGACACATTTCCTCCGTCGGCAATTATCCCTTGGACTTGAATTTCGCTAGAATCGGAAATGCCTTTCTTTTTCGATTGACGATCCCAATGGGGGGTAATTATTTTCCAGAAAATTTTCTCATGATCGTTGCCGAAAAACCGAAACGAATCGAGAGGCAGGAGAGAGAGAGAGAGACCGGGAGAAATTCCTGGAATGCCACCTCGCTCGATAAAAATCCACCCAGTCAGCAAAAGATGATGGAATGATGGAACAAAAACGAACCGACCGGGTCTGGGTCCAAGTCCCAGTCAAATTCTTAGCCGTCATTAGCTCTGCAATTTGCGGCACGCCTAACACACCCTTGGCTCTCGGCCCGATCTTCTTGTTCCGCCGCTGGCGAAGGAAGAAGAACCGAAAACGAGTAATATCATGCGGCATCCATTCGCGTTGTCCGCGCTTCTGTAGAGGTCGAAAGCAGGGCCATCAAAGCGAGATCACGATCATATGCGCGTCGCCTCCTTCCGGAGGTTGACGAGGAGGAGGAAGGGGGGATGGGTGGTGGCAGAACTGATATAATGACGATGACGACCACGAGGATTGACCGCGATATTAAAAGCTAATTTGCCCTACAAAAGAGCGCCCCCCCCCCTCCCCTCGGACCGGCCTTGTATCGGATCATCGAATGCCTCTGTACAGAGTCTTAAATGCAAGCGAATCGAACTCAGAGGAACCAACTCGTATAACTATGATAAACAATAGATTGCTGTCAGTTCGACAGTGGCTTTTCGTGAGCGTTCATAGTTGCGTAAACGTAAACAATTACTTCACCCTTACATTTCCAGTGAATCAAAATACCGTGCACCCCCGTTTATCTGAACGGGAATTGGAACTTCTAGTAATCCTACGACCATCCGAAAGCGAGTTTCTGGTAGCTCTATTTGCTGTTTTGCTTTGCTTCTGCGTTTCGTTTCACTTTGCTCAGAGTTGATAATAGAAGAGTTACGCAGAGTGAAGCTTGCAACACTGATGTCGATCAATGGAAATTTTGGCAACCTTTTTTTTGTTAACACCTTGGATGACTTCACCTGGATTTTGAAATTTTCCTCTGGTATCTTGATTTGTGCAAACAATACTTCCCATGCAACAGAGTCAGTTTGTCTATTATGTTCGATAGGTAGACTGTTTGACAGTTCGATAGGTAGATTTTGGTTTCAGTCTGCGTAACTCTTCTATTATCGACTCTGATTTTAATCTATTCCATGTGCTAGATGACATTTCTTGATAGAGCTGGAATTAGGGCGTAATAGCTTTTGTAAACAATTACTTCTCTTGATGATTTCTCGAAACTCAAGGCACTCCCACGCAAACTAACATAACCAACGGGAAGGGGAAGTCTTCCCCTACCAGATGGTGACGTTGATTTGAGTGAGCGGGCCTTGGCTTTCTAGAGATCATCGAGAGAAGTCATTGTTTACAAAAGCTGTTACACCCTAATTCCAGATTTGAGTAATTTTTAGTTTGCACGGCGTGCAGATTAGCGGAGTTCAAACTAAAAAGTGTTCAGATTAAGAACGGCCATATTACCGGGGGTTCACGGTAAATCCATGAATGTCGTCAGATTTATCGAATAGGGGAACTCTTATTCTACACGATGAGTTTGATGCTTTACGTTCGGCTTTACTTGGAAGAGTTACCTTTGAGCATTTTGTTCTCTGCGTTTGTGACATCGGACCTCTTAAAGCTCACTGCCAAGTTAATATTGTTAATTGATTACCAAGTGCTGTCAGTTTAGGTGTCATAGTCACACAGCATTGCACCATTTTCCTATATTCTAACAGTGATTCGAAAAAATAATGCACAGAGACTTGAACATCTTTCATAATTTATCGTTTTTAAACCGAATATGTAAGTATATGTAAGGCAGGTTCTGTCAAGATGAAAACCCCCGAACGCAAAAAATACTGTTTTCCGTCCTGAAATCGTTATTTAAATTCATTTTTTTTTGTTTACATTTGGTACCTAGGAAAGTGGCGCTAGGCTTTCAGTAGTTGTATGAGATCAAAACTAACTTCCCTACCGGTCACCCGTTACGCTGCCAACCTAAAAATACTTCACCCTGAATGTTGCTCGACAGTATACCAATAAAAAAAAACTGACAGCATCGCCCGAAAAACGCCCTTCAATCGCAAATCTAGGCCACAAAAGAGCCAATCATTGCACCAGCACGGTTGCAACATGCGACCTGCCACCGTCAGCGATCGATTGATCGATCGCTTGAGAGGCGAACTTTGCCTCCACTATCGATTCGTGCTTCCTCGAATCAGACGGCCGCATGAACAGAAAAATAATAACCTTCTGGTCGCACTAGGCCACCGAAACCGAACAACAACAACAACAACAACAGCAGCCAGCGAGCGTATCAATGTCTGAAGATCGCCTATGATTATTGCCTTTTCCATCCATATCCATCGATCTGTGAGCTGTGATCGACGGTCGGCTACGATCATCATGCTTGCGACGACGACGACGACGACGACGACGAAGATGATGATGATGGCCGATGATAATGAATAATGGCGATGATATCCATTAATTTGCTATTATATTTTTATAGTTTCTTCCTCTCTCGCTCAAGCCATTCTCTGATGCCCCCATCGACCATCTAATAGCTTCGATCGTGTCCGACGATCACATTAGTGACTGTTCTCACCGAGGTTCTCGCTCCGGAATAGTATTGCTTCGTCGACTGTGGCTTCCCACCTGTACCTGCTAGGGGGATTTGCTCAGTGGACTACATTTCGAAGAAGCGAAGCCAAAAAAAAAATCACGGAGAGACTCCCGAAAAAACTAAGCGAAAGTCTCCACACTAACGAAGCCCCCGGAGAGCAGAGGCAAAGCACAAAAATGAAACTTGCCCGGCCAGGCCAAAGTCAAAAAACACCCGGACCCGTCCGCCGAGCTCCGATGCTAGCTGGCTGGCTGGCTGGCGTGGAGAGTATAATAATAATCAAAAGGAATTAGTCGTAATTATGCACGAACGGGCTTGATTACATACATCATACCCGGAGCGCACCGGAGAGCGCAGCGCAGCTTTTCGGGGCGCTTCGAAGGTGTCTGACTGCGGCTGCAAAACAGCCGGATCACGACATGCGTTTCGCCTCCTCCTCATCCTCCCGGCCGTGACTGGTTGTATTTTCTTCGTCCATCGATCTACTCACTCCTCAAACACACTCACATACCCAGTACCGGGTCGGGAAGGTATTGTATGGGAACCGGTCATCAGCCACCATCAAGAAGAGAAGACCCGGGATCCCTTCGAGGTAACAACAAAAGTGACGGCCGGCCAGTAGTGGCAGCAGCGGCAGCAGCATGACGTGTGAGATAAAGGTGTTTTTACACAGCACAGAACGGGCTCGATCGCGATCGCGATCCCGAGGGCCCCCAAAAGTGAACAGAAAACACCATCGATGTCGGAAAATAATTGGTCGTTTACATTACCGATTCGACACGGAAGGGAAGGTAGAAGGGCTGGAGGGACTTTTCCTATGGTACAACCTCTCTGGGACGAAAAGTGCCACATCACGTGCTCACTCCCCGGTGGAAGATTTTGCATTTCTGTTGCAGTACCAACGATTTTCTTATCTTCAGAGTTCGCTCGGTTCGTACGGGAATTAATTAGAAGTGTATGCATGCATGGATGGATGGCTGAGAAGGAACGAAATGCGCAAAGCGTAAGCCCCGAAAACAAAAGCTTCCGCCGACGACGGAGCCGAGGTGTAGCAATAATTGACCTTAATGGAGTTTCCGAAAGACATCGATCATCTTGGGCACTGCCAGCATCGATCGGTACCATCATTATGCATCATCACCATCACCATCATCGACGATGATGGGCGCGCTTTGTTTTGCTGTTGTGTACTCTGCAGAGGGATTAAATTAAAGAAATCAATTTTGCTATCGGTTTATGGTGCTATGATTTATTTTCACACAT